AACACTGATGCCTTCACTTCCAGGTCAAGAAACTGTCAATCAAAAACTCAGTAGCCAATGAGAACACACCACTGCTAGCCCTGCCCCCATGAGAGATTTGTCCCAGAATGGCGAATGAAAACTTCAGAAGTGAAAATAAAAACTTCAGAAGCGTAAATTAAAACTCTGGAAGCACATTTGTAAGTACAGATCAGCGAAAGAAAGAGGAGAAAACAATTAGCAAAACATGCAGTGTATTATAAACGAAGTCAAAGATTTTGCCTGCGATTTAATTTTTTTCTGTTTCAAAGACATTTTATTCAGTTTCATTTTTATTGGCACAAGAGTAATTCCATAGACACGATGAAATCACTTAGTACACAATACATTTGTATTAAAGTAATGACAAATAATATCTTGAATCTACATGTTTTTTTTTTTAAGTAGTCTAACGTGAATTAAATATTTTGGTCTGGCAAGCAATAATTAATTGAGAAAAAGAGGACAATTATGTCAGCTGACCACATGCTGATCATAAGGGACCGATGTACACATTAAAATTAAGTAAATTCAAAATACTTTTTTTCAGTGTAGGCACTTCAAAATACAACGAATAATTCTTTATTACAAATTAATCGGATTTTTTTGAACGCATTTTAAGAATACTTTTCCCATCAGCTGGTTACAATAGACAACACCGCTGTATGCTGCATCAAAGAGACATGTGCACTCTGATGTAAACAAGCCCAACACGGATGGGAAGTTCATGGCGGAACGAGTGAAAGAAACGCGCTGAATGAAAGTGCACATTCACTCTCTGAGAGCAGATGGCGCTGATGGAGCAGCTATTGCTCATTGTTAATGGTATTGCATTAACTAAGGTTAAGATTTTACCTTATTGTAAAGTGTTACCTATTGTTCTTTAGGCTATAATTCTTTTGCACTTTAATCTATTTGTTTACTTTGTACATTTTTTGTGTGCTTTATTGTATTAAAATGTTCAGTTCTTTTTGTTATAAGAAAAAAGTTATTAAACCTGTTATACTGTATTATGACAACACTTTTTTGCAACTAAATTTCAATATTGTGATAATACTGTATACCGTGATAAAAGCTTTAGCAATTATCGCAACATGAAAATTGCTTTGGGGATATTCAGTGTTATGGTGCTGTTTGTGTAAACATTCAGAACTGTTGGTTGTTCTTGTGCTTTATGCTTTTGTTGTATTTCAGTTATAATCCAAGTCTTCTTTCTGGTATCTATGGTATATTGACATACGTATATTACATGAGCAGTAGGTGTCCCCAACAGGCCCCGTAGCCAGGTCACCGAGGTCCAGACCTCAAATGATGTTCAAAAATAAAATTTGTTCTCTGAATGACTAATTTGCAGTTAAACTCCTCATATGAATGTCTGCATTGTATAATTCAGTTTAATTCAGAATGTTTAGTGTAACACAGGTCAGAATTGAGCTGGTTAAGAGAGATGAAATACAAATTGTCATAAATTTATTTTCACAAAGAAATATTAAATCATTAAGTAAATATATAAACATAAGTCATCCTGGGCAGTGAAAACTAAAATAATTTAATTAACAAAACTGAAAAAGCGCAACATTTTTTCTTAAAATGGGCACTGTTTATGACCTCGCTAAAATGAGACGGCCAAATGAGAGAGAGAGCACAGGCTTCGCAGATCGCGAGTGTCATTAAAAGGGATTAAAAGGCAAATATAACAATCATCCTTTTTGATATACATAAATATGTTATGTGATGTTGTAGCCCCTGTATAAATGTTATTGGGTCATTTTTAGCGCGATGATTGATGATATAGAAGTGAATGATGACGGATTGTGAGCCCCGTAGAATCCAATGCGGTTAATAATTTTGTATTGAAATCTCCCGGATTTGGTGAGTTCAAGATAATATTCTGTTCAATTTGTTGGAATTGAGTGTTTATGTGTTATATTGATGTTCTGATGTGTTTTTATGCCAGTTTATATGTATTTACGGTCAGAGGATATGTGTTAATGTACAATGTACTAAAAATAAGTAATGTTATGTACTAAAAATGCTAACTAGCACAGCATTATCACACATGTGAATGCCTTGTTTACATATTGAGTGACAAAAGCACTCCAATTGTAATTTACAACCAAATGAGTTAATGTTTGAAAGATTTGTTGAGTTTTGATGAGTATTATAGTCAGTTAAATTGTCTGTGATCTTTGTGATCCTGTTTGTATAAACATGTCAAGTTTTTTTTTTTTTGTGAGTCTGGAATAAACTGTGATCTTGAGATGGCGAGCCACCCAGCTAGAGAACCCTAAGCAGAGACAAGAAGAGGAAATTCTGCTATTCATCACGTGATCTGTGCCTTAATTGGTTACCAGCGGAACTCATCCATTCCTTGTGGTATTTCTCATCAATTACACCAACAATGAATATTGAACAGAACTGTGTGTTGCCTTATTGAACATTGCACCATAGACAATTGCACTACTACGACTTTTGCATTCATTGGATGCATCGGATTCATCAGTTGGATTTGAAGGACTTTTTCTTTACACGCGTACATGCACACTTGCTTCATGGACTGAGAACTGTTCATCTACATTGAATTACTGTTGAGTTTTCTGTAATATTTCAGTTAAAGTGCTATTTGTTGAAAGTAACCTGATTGTTACATCTGTTTCATGTTGTGGGTTAATGTTTCAAATCTAAACAAATAGGAAAAAAACATTTTAAAGCTGAAAAAGAAAAACTAGCAGAAGTTATACAGACACCAAACTAAAATTGAATCTAAATAAGAAAGATTAATGTATATATATCAACTTAAATATTAAAGTGAACAAATATAATATAAATAGATTATAGCTAAGAAAAATAACTACAAAGGAGCTCAGAAGGTTACATTTCTTAAAGGGAAAAAAGAGACAAAGTCATTGCTTATTTTATTATTTTGCTGTTATTTCATTTCGTGATTTCATTCATTTCAACTTCTCTGAAAAAAAAAGTAAAACCAAACATTTTGGTAAAAGTCATTTTCCTGGGCTGTCTGGTCCTTGTGTTAAAGTGTTTTACCTCATTTCTGCCCTCTGTAGCCAACCTGGTGATCTGGCCTGTTACTGTGTATTCTGTCATTCATATTGATACACAGAGGAACTAAAGTATCTATTGCACACTATAAGCACTACTGGTTACATTAGCGTCCGTTGTATAAAAATGCTCGCTGCGAGACGCTGGTGGAGTGAACGAGGCTTGAGAGAGTCGTGAGTGAGGGAGCGCGCGCAGCCTCCGTGTTGCCAGATCCAGCTATTATAAGCGTTTGTTTTTTACTTGTCTTTTCCACTTAAAGGCAGAGTAAGCGATTTCTGGTAGCCAATGTTGATGTTTTTGTTTATTTTTATAGCAATATCGGGCAACATTGCATCGCCAGCACTTAAACTGGCAGTAATCAAAAAAAGTCCATGGACAGGTTATTGCTGACAAGATACGACATTCGGTAAGGGAAACGCAAAAAAAACAAAAAAAACATTATCTGTCAGAAATGTTATCAACGCTGTCAAAATCTGTAGCATTTAACACTAGTGCAGAGATCTGTAGAACAAGTAGGTTACAGAGTGAAATGAAATACGCAAACACTAGCCATGAAGAAGTTTATGCCAAGTCATTCAGTTAAATTTTCACAAATCATGCTATATAAACATTCACAAGACCACTAGACAAAGTTATCAGCTATATAATGGTTATAAATAAAAACTATAACAGCAATATGTATGGTTATATGAATAATAAACAACTGATAAAATGATCCACCCCATAAATATAGTAAAGTATTAACAAATTTTGATGCAATAAATAGGGTATGATTTAAAAATGATCATTCCTCCAAAACAGAGAAAACATCTTGGAAGCGTGTTACGTTTGGATCGTTTGAAACATGGCGGCTGGAGATCTGATAAGATCGTCGAATTCACTGGCATTGCCATTTTGCATATTGCATTTTAAATTGAATTTCGCTACCTATATGCTTCCATACATTTCTGTCTCTTTTAAAGTGTTAATAGTGTATATAATTAGTTGTATTTATAGGGGTTATTATAGCACAATCAAAGCCTGGCTATGGCAATGGTTGCTAATATACGAGTTGCTTGAGAGGACAGTAGCACGCAAAGAAGTGTATCCATGGCTTGAATGCTTAAGGTGCTACTTGTTAATAGACAACACTGGTGTGGGATATATCTGGAACAATCATTTTCTCTCTTTGCTGATTATGTTTGTGATTCCACTGAATCAGACTTTCTTTATGGTCTTCAGTCTTCAGATCAGTACTTCCACCTCATGTATTTCTGCTGTGTTTTGATTCTGCTGTGATCCGTCAGCTGAAGTTTGTGTGGATTTCACTATATTCTGCATTTGGGGCAAGATATGTAATTTAAACAATATTTATGTAACATCCTCGTGCTTTTGGAAAATCTTGTAATTTAATTAAAAAGTCTCCTGATGTTGCAGGTCATTGGATCCCAAAGCATTGCAACCTTATAAAGGATACTAACCTGCATATATTTTGCGATCTCTGTAAAGTCAGAACAGAGAGAGAAAATATATTAGTGGAACTGCAAAATCTAATCATTCTCTGTTAATATATATATAAAAAAACTACTTATTCATCTTCAATGACTTCTTATAATATCAATAAATAATGTGATGTATCTTTCTAAATGATTTCAATAGTAGCTCTTTTTAATGTTTACTATTTCAACTTGAAAACTTTGAAATTAATTACGAACATGCATGGAAAGACCCCTGATATGGTTCCATCAATGATCTGAACAAACCAGGGAGCCAATAAATATAAAGACTCATACATGTTCACTATGTGCAGCTCTCACTGACATTCAGCAGATGCTTGAACTCTAGGATTTTAACATTGAGGAGGTTAGGGGGATTTTAAGCATTGTGACAGCAAATACTCACTAGATGTAAATAATGCTGAAATCAGCACAGATACGACAAAGTAAGATTCAGAAGGAAAGACAATGAATCTCAGATCCCCAACTGTACGATTACCATTCACTGAAAAAAAAGAGTGGATACATTTAATTCTTAAATATTATGATCACTGTTTCAAAAATGAATGCAAACTTACCGGTATTTTATTACAGTATAATTATTCCAGGTAAATACAGATGAACTCATTATAGATTGATTAAACAAGTTTGAGAAGGTGATTTCTGACTCTGACTTTAAAGTATTTCTACAATTAATTATTCATGATTAAAATGATAAAAAGTTGTTTTAATACGTTTAAAGTATATATTTACTTTGACCTAGATGTATTATGGATTTTCTCAAATTAATTGTATAACGTATTGTATAATAAAGTGTATGTTGTTCACTCACCTGCTTTCAGTATCAGTTCAGTCATCAGTGTCACAGAGTTCAGTAAAACAACACCCACTGATCCAAACACATAGACAGGAGCAAAACGCTGAAGATCTGCAATGCAATTGTAGACATATAAGTTTAAATAAAAAGCTAAATTATTGTATCATTTTTCTTTGAAGGACATAAAATGTTCATATTAGCAACATTAAAGTTTAATTCATATTTTATTCAATATTTAGAGAAAATGAGGCCACACTGAAAAAAAAAAACTATAGATATACACATAAAAAACTAAAACCCCATAATAGTATCTCACCACTATTTCTTCACACAAATCTGCTTAATATTACTGGTTCTGCAGTGTTTAATATCATGAGCTGCTCAAGTCTTTAACTGTACATGTACTCATGATGATGCAAAAAAAAAAATCACACAGATGATGATCAATACTGCACCCTCAGCATTGAAACCATAATAGCATGAAAACTTCACAATGGCCCAGAGTATCTGCAGAAACACAAGCACACAGCCCCATCCAATCGGATCTGCATTGAAAAGAGTGAAATAAAGCGTCACTTCTCCATCACATTTTCATTACAGATATTTAATTATATAGATTTTTGTCTTCTTTATACAGGACAGTTAGAGGTCAGACAGGACAATGTAAGGAGAGAGAAGGTGAATGGGACATAAAACAGATCAGACTCAAACCTACAGGTGTGTTAAAAAAAATAGCAGTACAAAATCAGTAACCTGATGAACCACTGTTATTAGTAGTAGTAGGGATATTTCTGCATTGTAAATAATTTACTTGAATTAGAAGTGTAATAGAAAAACAAGAGACCCAACCGGCAGGACATGCATGCTGCTTGTTCTGAGTAATTGTCTAATGCATTGAAAGGGGTGTGTTCAAAATAATAGCAGTGTGGAGTTTAATTAGAGAATTCATTCATTCTGTGAAAAAACAGGTGTCATTAATTGTCCATTATTAACAATGTAATTTGATTAAAAAGTTGATTGGAGAAGGGTAAATGTATAAAGAAGTGCAGAAAATTATAGGATGCTCAGCTAAAATGATCTCAAATGCTTTAAAATGGCAACAAAAACCTGAAACACGCAGAAGAAAACGAGCAACTACTGTTAAAATGGATCAAAGAATTGTCAGAACGGCAAAGATCCAGCCAATCATCACCTCCAGAAAAATCAAAGATGATTTATTATTACCTGTAATTACTGTTACAGTCAGAAGATGTTTGATCGAAGCTATCAGCAAGAAGCCCCCGTAAAGCACCACTGCTGAAAAAACGGCATGTGCAGAATTTGCCAGGGAACACATCGACTGGCCCAAAGAGAAATGGCATAACATTCTGTGGACTGATGAGAATAAAATTGTTCTTTTCGGATCTAGTGGTCAATGACAGTATGTCAGACAACCCCTGGGTACTGAATTCAAGTCTCAGTACACTGCGAAGACTGTGAAGCATGGTGGAGCAAAACTAATGGCATGGGGATGTTTTTCATACTACGGTGTTGGGCCTATTATACCAGGTATCATGGATCAGTTTGAATACATCAAAATACTTGAAGAGATTATGGTGCCCTGTGCAAAGGAGGAAATGCCCCTAAAATAGGTGTTTCAATGTGACAACGACCCCAAAAACACACAAGTAAGCGAGAAACATCTTGGTTCCAGACAAAAAGGATTGAGGTAATTGAGTGGCCAGTTCAGTCCCCTGAACTCAACCCAATTTAAAACTTGTGGGGTGACATTAAAAATGCAGTTTCTGAAGCAAAACCCAACATTTCACAGGAACTGTGGAATGTAGTTTGTTCATCCTGGGCTGAAATACCCGTTTCTAGGTGCCAGAAATTGGTTGACACGATGCAATGCAGATGTGGAGCAATTATCAAAAACAATGGTTATGCAACTAAATATTAGTTTAGTAATATAACTGAAGTTTAAAAAAAAAATTGAGTATGAAGGGAAAAATGTTGATGCTGCTATTTTTTAACAGTTTAATATTCATTTTATTACAAGAATAACACAGATTTGATAAAATATCTTAATACTTTGATTTAGAATTGAATGTGTAATGTTTCCACTATATTTGAAATATGGAAATAAAAACTTAAAAATATTTGCACTTTATTCACTTTCATTAATGCACTGCTATTTATTTGAACACAACTGTATATCTCCATGAGCACAGCAGATTTATACTGTATATACTGATCATGTGATCAACCCTCTGTGCCACAACTCATTTAATGATAAATTCATTTTTTCCAGATTGCTAACACACTACTGTATAGTTAACTGTCCAGTCTAATTTCTCAAAATTCAGTTCTCAAAGCAAAATCATTTCTCAAAACTTTAAACACAATTTGTATGTTTCACATGTTCCAATTTTCTCAATGTTTTCTGCAGAACTTAAATACCCCCATTTTGCACAGGTTTAACCATGTTCTAATTCAGAAAACACAAATACATAATATAATTAAAGGGTTACTCCACCCCAAAATGAAAATTTTGTCATTA